GTCGAGAATCGATAAACTTGAGAGAGAAAGGGTACGTTCAAGAGCAAATGGCTCATCGATAGTCTCTAGCCAAATTGGACTTAAGAAAGCCGACGAAACTGCCGTGAATTGTAACGAACACACAGTATTTGTGACATAAAATCGTAGCTGGAGACCGCTGTTAATACAGCGAAACCTAAATTGCTGTCATTCTAAACAAAATCGATGTAGAACAAAATTTTGAAGATCAGAGATAACTCGTAAAACTCCTGAATACATTTAGAATGGAGACGACCATAAAGAGCAACCACAATTAGTAATTTCATCTGAAGAGGCTGAATATTAAGCCAATCGATCGCAAAACTTGCTAGGAGCCAGGGAATTTTTTCGGCTAAATCCTGCTCGATCAGATCAGCAGCTGCTAGAGTCTGATATATTCCGCTCACAGTCCCGTTTTAATCCCGTCTCTAAAATGCAGAGCAACGCTTGACCACTCTCTAACAAGACAACACGAATGTCGCTAGTGCGGATTAGCGAGTTTTGTGAAATCCCATTGAATAGTTGGTGATAAATATTTCCAGAATGAATATCGTGACTCCTTGGGTCGCATGAAGCAAAAGACCGGCGATACGTATGCTGTGACCACGCACGAAACACTCTACAAATCTGTTGAGGACCGCATTACTGATGCACAAGACGGTATGACTCTGCCATTAAAATCACTCAGATTCAATTTTCTGACATACTAGAGGATTCACAAATGTTTAACAGTCTTTGCTAAGCCTCACGCTTACGATTAGCGCACCAGCTCTTGTCCAGATTATAAGCGCATAACTTGAAGCAAAACCATTTGAAACGTCTCATCAAAATATTGAAGACTTGTCTCATGGTAACAGGAAAGCCTTAGGTACCCTATCCGTTCCGGAAAAGTGGAATCCCTTTCGAATGTTCCGAATGACTCGTAAATTTAAGCTGATCGTGTTTTGTTGAAAACGAAAGCCTTAAGGTCCAATTGAGGCTCAATTTGAGATCAATATGAGCATGAAGAAGTTTGTTTGAAATTTGCAGAAATATGATAGAGAACACACAAATGTTTGAAAATTGTTTGAAAATTTAAGAGAAACGAAGTGCTGAAGCAAAATTGGCATCCGCCAAACAACTTCTTCGCTCACAGGAAGAAGCACTCAAGCTACGCGACGATGAGCGCCGTCAGATGAAGTCGAAAATTGTGGCGTTCGAATTGGAGACCCGTGGAAAAGAGGCTCAAATCAGACATCTTAACGTCAGTTCCACTGATTCCGT